AAAAAAAAAAAAAAAAAAAAAAAAAGAAACCATGTTGTTTTGATTTTTTTTAATTTTAAATGCATGCAATAAAACATGTGAGTACACCTTTATGACTAAGGACCCGGGTTACAAAATGCTTAGTATGACCCATACACTGTAATATACTTCCCTGTTTATGAGGTACAGATTTTTCAGAGCTTTTGAATCTACGAGTATGCTTAGATTTTTCATTTCTATCATGCCTGTACAAAACAATTACTCTTACCCATTATTTCTTGCATAAACATGTACTGAGTTGTGTGTAGGGGGATGGCATATACGTGTGTTTATGCGTTTATGCTAGGGTTGGGTTTGTTGCTGAAATACTGTTGCCACTTCAATTAGGCATAAATTCAAATGTGATAGCTGAGGTAATCAACATGACAAATCTATTTATCATAAGTAAGTCTTTGATTTATTCTGTGAAATTTTAGGAATATGAGAATGACTCCATGTATAGTTTGAGAACTGTATTGTTTCCTTCTACATCTGAGCTAAAGGAGGCCCAAGGGTCCTCACTTCTCTCATTAAAACAAAACTACAAGGCCATTTCCATTTTTCAGTGTGGGAGAGTTTGAAGTGTTAAGAAGTATTTCTAGAAACTATGGCATATTAATCTATTTCATGGCAACCTCATACTTGGTAGGCACCTAAGATACATCTGAGCCTAAAGTTTAGAACTTGAGGGAAGCAGGGAAAATCTGGCTGTATAAGACACATCCTGTTTTCTGAAATCCAAATAAACATGTAGCATCACAAGAATGGAGAAGCATGAATGCTACGTATTCAATTTTCATATGAGGATAATTACTGACAATTAATGACACAGTGGGAGTTGGGAGAAAGGGAGAGCAGAGAGAGAGAGATGGAGGGAGGGGGTGTGGGAAAGGAAGAGCTGAGAGAGGGAAGGAGGGAGGGGGGGAGTCTCAGAAAAAAAAATGTAGCCCTGTCAAGCTCTTGAAAGAGAATTTTGGAGGGAGATGAAACCTCAGAAATCGCTTCCTATGAACCCATCATTTAGAAATGGGAGCTAAGCTTGAAAAGAACTTAAAACTCAAGATTCTAGATATTCAGTTTAGCTTTGCCTCAGTTCAATCTACTAGGTACAGCATACCTTTTATTCCTTATATGCCTTCATTCATAAAAGGAAATTTTGAAATGTATTGTGTTCTAACAAAAGAATACATCATTGTTATTATCAGAATATCGTCATTGTAGAATTTTGTATATATATAAAATAAGAAATTTTGGTTGAATTAGGAAATATATTCATATTCACATTATAATGTACTATAGGGCTATACCAGGTGTCTATTCTATATAATATTAATATAAATTTCTGTACTTACTTTAATTATTCAGAAGTAACACACATAGAAATTAGACAAGGTATACTTCAGTTACTTGAATGACATTACATATAGAAAGGAGTTTAACTTGCTACTATCTAATAAAGGCCTTTATTTGGATACGAAGATAAGAACTGGCACCTTCTTTTATTTTGTGACTTACATAAAGCCATCACAAAATAAATAGAAAAAGTGAACACTGTTGTTTTCAAATTTTAGGAAAATAAAACCAGCTAGTATTAGTTTGTAAAATGCAAAAACCTAAACCTTTTATTGGGTGCATTCACCAATAGGTGAACTGATATACCGCCATGGATAATAAAAATTACTTTTAAACATTTGATAAGGAAAAATATATATTTCAGCTTTTCGTGTAGTTGCCACTTCTGTATCATTATACAATGATGACATCAACATTATACAAAGAGACATCAACAGACGTACACTTCTTTTAGTGTTTGGATGCTTCTCTGAAGAATATTGAGTTTCATTAAATGCTAACTTCTTCCAAAGTTAACCTCATTACGAGATTTTAGCAGATTTCAGAATCCAATTCAGTACTGGGTAATCTAGGGAAAATATTAAGCAATTCTATTATTCATGTTAGAATAACAAAGTGTGAGCATACCGTCCTCGTCGGTTTGAATAATCGTTTCTTCACTCTCCTTCCTTCCCTCGGGATTGGTCAGGATCATCTTGAGGCTGACATTTGTATAGGGTGGCAGATGGCTCACCACATGCTGGGGGGCTTTGGGGTCCATGTCCAAACAGTCTGCCTTGCTCTCGTTGTGCCCACGGAAGTAATGGTAGCAGATAGTGACATTAAAAGTGTGGCAACGAGTAATGTTGTAACCCAAGGACTCCCAGTCCACGGCAATGCGTCTTGCTTGTATTTCCGCAATCTTCAAAGTCTTTGGGGTCCGCATAGGTTCTGAAAAATAAAGTTGCAGATAGCTGTCAGTTTTACCGGGAGTAATCTTGGAGAAATAAAATACTGAGTATGATGTAGCGCATTCAAATCCAGAAAATGTGGAAGTTATCTTTTATTTTCATTTGTTTTACTTATTTGCGAACTTATCCTTTAAAGTTTCAAACAAGGACTATGACTTACCCATAGAAAAATAAATGATATTTTAGGATAAAATTGATAGGATTGATATTGATAGGATATCAACAATTCATAATACTCAGGAACTTGCTGGAAAAATTAAAAAACTGAACATGTGGCCACAATACCTTTGTCGTTGTTGTTGTTCTTACTCCTTCATTCCCTTTCTTTTCCTTTGTTGTTGTTGAACCAAGCGAATTAGCTAATATATCAAAATGGCTAAGAACCAGCACATTCTACTCTATGATTTATCATGTCACCAAGCTATGCTGTATACTAATCAGTCTAATTGTAACACTAAACTACCATTTACAAAGAAATGACACGATATTAATTAACACTAATTATTTCAGTAATGATGTTGTTCATCAAAGCAAAAAAATTGAGAAAAATTACAAGAACATATGTGAATATTCACGTTGACTTCTTTCATTATTTATCACTTTCTGTCTTTTCCTAGAAAACACTCAGGTCTCAAGATCCATTCATTGTCACCCAAACCAAACCGGGAGGTGAATTTCCATTCAACTGGAAAATGCTGGCAGAACTAAACACTCCAAAGACTGGAGTCCATCCATCACAGCTTCCCAAGTGTATTCTTTCCTCATGCAAGACTAATTTCAATCGTTTAACTTAATCAAAATAATTACTCTATGAAAGTCATGGCCATAACAACATCTACACAGTAAAGAAACCAGTGTACAGCAAAACCTGACTATGTCGGCTTGACAAAAAGAACAAAGGCAAGGCAAAGGTCAAGGATAATTCACTAAAGATAGTCAACAGCTAAAAGAAAATCACGAGAGATAATAATATCAAACAAGTCTAACTGAGGTATTTTAATGAATTTTTACTTTTGAGATTAAAATCATAGTGCAGTAAAAAATATTCAGCATGTTATATAGATGGCAAGCCCATACTAGTTCAATGTGTTTAATATTCAGTCTGAGATAAACTCTGGTGGCCACTTAACTTAAAACCTTAACGAAATCTATGTACATACATGTGCATTAATCTCTGGTAGAATCTAATGCTTGGGTTTTAAATGTTAATTGCCAATGTTACGACTATTCACAAGATCCATCCTCTCATTTACCACATTTGTTTTATGTGTTACCTGAAGCGTACAGGCTGGGAGAAAGTCATGGCTTTCTCACCACTTTTAAAAATGCTCACTATGTATAAGTCTATGCTAACATTTCCCCCGCAAGGCACAAGAGTGAAGTGATGATACTTTCAATTTAGTCTAGTTAGGACTAAAATCACAGTCTGCTACAGCTGCTCACATGCTGGGCCAGGAAATTCTGCTTAGAATCCCACCCCCCAAATCCCCAAATAAACTGTTATTTTGCTACCTGCTAGGTTATCAACCACATACTATGCAGGAGCCATTCTAAGATTAGGCCATACCTTGTTCTAAAGGTATCCAAAATGAGAAAGTGAAATTTCCCAGGAAGATACCTGGAATGAGTATGAATAAGAAACAATTCCCAGGCAGCAGAGAGAACAAACCCCAGTAAATTCATGTGTTTACTCCTCTGTTTAATATTTTTTAGGCATAGCATTGATATGCTTGTTTTCATATACCCCTAATTTTGAACCTGGCATTTCTTCCTTTTATGAATTTCTGTTTGCAAATCATTACTCTCTTACCAGTCTCTCCCTTTTGTCTCATTGTTGAGTTTGCACTTACTCCACATTCTAATACAATTTTCAAAAACATACCTAGACAGCTTATATACTGTGAAAGAAGGCAGAGTAGTTCTGAGTCTTTAATTCTCACATATCGAAGTATTGGCAAAAGATACATACATTGTCTATTATGTAAAATCCACAGGGCTCACTTTGAGTGATGAGTTTGTGTTAGTGAGTTTAAAGGCTACTTACTTTGGTATTCATTGTATTAAAAACTTTCATATAAAATCAGGAAAGAGCTTTATTAATCCTGTATGTATATACATAAGCCACTCTCTTAATTCCATTGACCAATACTTTTTTTTTTTTTTTTTTGCAGTTTTTGGCTGGGGCTGGGCTTGAACCCACCACCTCTGGCCTATGGAGCCGGTGCCTCACTCCTTTGAGCCACAGGTGCCGCCCCGATTGACCAATACTTTATTAACCAATATAGGAAAACAAAGAGTTATGGAAAGAAAGAATATTAAAATGCAAAGAATCTTTTTTTTTTTTTTTTTTGCAGTTTTTGGCTGGGGCTGGGTTTGAACCCACCACCTCTGGCATATGGGGCGGGCACCCCACCCCTTTGAGCCACAGGTGCCACCCCAAAGAATCTTTTAATGAGATCAATGTGTTATTTGAAATTTATACTTTTTTTCCATAGCTTGAATAAATGCTGTAAATTGCCCTATGATTGCAAAAAATAGTAATGTAAACATAACTACTCTCACCTGAAGATAATACTCAGAAACATATACATAAGACTAAAATATCACTTTGACTTTCATGGCATGAAAAGCAACTCAGAGGAAGTTGCTAATTAATTTTTTTCTCAATTGGCCTGTGCTGTAACTTTTTTTTCAGTTTTGATTGCAGGGGGAATCTTTAAGGCGTGTATGTGTGTGTATACATTCATATACATATACGCACATACATATAGGCAGTACACACACACACACACACACACACACACACACGGTATGTATCTGTCATGCAACTCATCTAAATTCTATTGGGTTTGACATGGGCTGACAACTACATGCATATGGATTTTGTTATTACAGTTTTTATGAATAGCAGTGACTCAAGATGCTTCTACTGCTATGAAATCCATTCGAATAAAATTTTATCAAAGAACTCAATGATAAAATTGCCAAAATCCCCCACTTTAATCCATTATTTTTTCATGTTTCATGAATAAGTATCTTATACTTCTGAAGTCTGAATACATAAATAAAATTTTAACTTTCTTAATTAGAATAATGATTTGAATTTTCATAGAATAACTGGCAGCCGGAAGATATGGTTTGAGAACTTCTGTGTTTTATAAGAGCTGAGCGTAAAAGCTATTTTAAAGATTAAATAATTTAAAGAAATGATCAAGCATGGCGATGGCACATTGGGGTTCTATAGTAAATTGCACTGATAGCAACATAAAAAAACATAATATGGTACAACAACGCAGAACACATTTAACGACGCATCAGTGGTCAATTGTTTTGAAATTTGTTAAACGGTCTTTCTCCTTAATTTTTTTGACTTTCCATTTTCCAATTTTTATTGGGTATTCCACGTACTGTGATTTTATGTAATATTTCTCTGTTTCTCTCTTTCTTTCTCCTTCCTCCTTTCTTTCCTTACTTCTATGGTAAAAAGAAATAGTGAATCAAAAAAAGGAGTCAGGCAAAGCTTTATCAAAAACTTAGGCAGAAACAATGGAATGATCTTCATGCAAAAAAGTGTTCATTTAAATATTTACAGCTAGTCACCCATCTGTTATGAAACAAAAAGATTTTCTATCATGCAAAATGTACCGTAAAAACACTGTACAAAGTACTAAAATGAGTAAAACAATATTAGTCATCAAGGAGCTCACTATTTATTAATTAAAGACTTAAACATTAAGAAAGATTTTATATGCAGTAGAACCTCTATAGTTGGCCACCTCCATACATTGATCACCTAACATGATTTTCATAGACCAGACATGCACCACATGTATGTATCAGTACAGTAGTGGAACTAGTTCCTTATGTTGACCACCTCTGGATATGGACCACTCTGTTAAAGTCCCTTGGGTAGTCATCTTACAGAGGTTCTACTGTTTATAGAGAGGGTGCCAAAAAATGTATACACATTTTAATATTAAAATTCTAATAATACATACTGATAACAAAAGAGAATACAAGCCATGTTTAGCACCTTGTAACTGCAGAAGTCAGATGTGACTTAAGTATTACAATCTTACTATAGTTTTTTCCTTTCTTAAAATGTGTATAGATTTTTGTCTGCCATATGTGGGTGGCTATAAAGTTCATGTGCAAAAGTTTGTGAACTTTAACTACTCGGAGTTAAAATAATGCAGTAATTCTGTACTGGATGGAATTCGGTTGGCCTGAAGTATATGAGGAACTAAGAATACAAAGATCAATTTGACACTGTCCTTGGCTAAGAAGCAAGGATTGCAAACAATACTTGAACTGATCTGGGTTTTAGGTAACTTGGGGAGTACTGTGAAGAAAAAGAGGGCTAAATGGAGGTGTCAGGCCACCTTGGGGTTGGAGTGCTCCATCCTTTCAGAGACAGCAGAAAGAATCAGGAAGGTAAAGGAGAGAGGGAGAGGAAGAGAAGGAGGGAAAAAGAGATGGAAAGAGAGAAATGGAGTAGGGAGTGGGGAGGATGACACGGGACATTTCTAGAGGAGAAAAATGAATTCTAAAGGACGCCAGCTGACTTTTCTAATGTGACTTATAAGTCAACAAGAGAGGCAGTATCAGAAACCACATCACACCATAAAACATGTTAAGTATTTGAAGTGGTAAGTAGCTTTATTTAAATATCCCACATTGTATTAATAAATTATAACATTACTTTGTACTCTATACATGTATACAATTATAAATTACTGATTTACACTTTAAAAAAAAAAAAGAAACACCATGAAGTTCATTTTTCTCAGCTTGTGCTATTTCTAACTTTGTGGTCCAGGCATGCCCCCTGAACCATCCATCAGGGAGTTCAGATTGTTCACCACAATCTCTGACATAGACTGAGAAGAGGAATTAGGAAGGCTTGCTGCCCCCTGTCTTTTGATGTATTTAGAGAATTAGATGGGGCACAGAGAGAACACTAAGAAGAATAAAAAGAAC